GCCAACATTATTGCTATCTCTTAGAAACTCTTTCATTAGCATTATACACACACACATGAAAGAAAAAAAGAGACACACACACAAAGAAAAAAAGAGACGTAATGGTGGAGATAGATCAGAACGGGGAACGTTTTGATGAAGAAAATTAAAAGAAAGTTAAATAAATTTGAAAATTGATTTCTATTTAACTATATATAGTATCAGCAAAGGAAAATACGAGATTACTAAGTGACAATTGAAGGTGGTAATATTTGAGAATTCTTTGAAAAACCAACCCTATCAAGTTCTATCATATTTGTTTTAATAAACAAATATATTTTTTATTGATTTTCATTTTCATCTTTGTAATTTTAATTATTTAATTTTATTTCCTTAATTACTTTTTTAATGAGATTGTGACAGAAATGGGGAGGGAGAAATTGGAACAAAGATGAAAGATGTAAGATCTAATTGAAACAAACCAAAGATTTTAGATGAAATTAAAATCTATCCTTTATTCTTTTGAGTTTTTTAACAAGACCAAATTCCGTATTCTTTTCTCGATACGCAGCATTAAGCCTTTTCATCAAGTGACTTTTCTCTATCCTTCGATGCACAAGCTGCATAAAATAGCAAGAGAAGACCGGCAACTCTTGAACCCAATCGAGGAAATTGCAACCATATGCGAATAGGCATTTGAGATTCCGAGTGGATAAGTCTGGACAGTACTCGTGGCATGGAGTGCGACTCTTGAATATATTTTCTCATCAGAGGACCAAAAAGCAAGTCAATATTGGTACAATGGTCCCCAATAGATAAGATTAATAAAGATGTTTGTGGTTGCGGGGTAACATGTTTTTTATTAAAATTTTATTTTAAATTAATATTTTTAATGTTTTTGAATTGTTTTAATATATCAATTTAAAAAAATAATAAAAATAATAAAAATTATTTTTATACATCATCTACTACACTCCAAATTAACACTTCTAGATTATCCTACTAAGAATTGAGAATAATTCAAAATCTAGATTAATTCAACCAGGGAATGGCTTGATAAAATTTTTTTTAAAAAATAATCAGAATAATCAAATATATGAAGTGTCAGGGATGGATTTTAGTGAGGTCACGTACAACAACTTGTATCATTTCAACGCATGAGTTTTTCAAACTAAGAATATATTATTCCAATTCTTTGGTTAACAAATTTCGTTTTGAATATATATATATATATATATATATATATATTTTCAATATTCAGACTCTCTTGAATGTAACAACAGTGCTGCATCTAATAATTAAATTAATAATTGAAGTCATTTTATGTCAGATTCTGAGTTTAGTAAGTAATATCATTCTATAAGAAATGAAACCATGACTACTCTTTTCAAAAAACGCTCGTGCATAACCATCTAGGTGGTAACCAAGTGATAAGGATTTGGGATCAAGGGGTTTGCTCCCTCTGTGGTCTCAGGTTCGAGTCCTTAATTGCTTATATGATGGCCACTGGAGGCTTACATGATCGTTAACTTCAGGGCTCGTGGGATTAGTCGTGGTGCGCGCAAGCTGGCCCAGACACCCACGTTAATCTAAAAAAAAAAACGCTCATGCAAGCTATCAAATTCTATTTATAAAATTTCACAGCATTAATCCAAGTAATGGATTTTGAATAAAATACTCGGTCGTTGTTTATAAAATATTAAAGAATATAACATAAATTATAGTTTGAAGTTTCCTTAATTATTTAAAATGATTTTTTAGTATAATATTAGAGTTTTTATAATTAAATGGTTATGAATATGAAGATTTTTATTGATAATTTTATGTAAAGCCGCCAGAAGTTGCTTGCGTAAATGGAATGGCTTGCATAAATTTTTTACTTATCTCAATCCTAGGTTTTTATTTCTTGTCTTGTCTAAATTTTTGATAAGATGTTCATCCAAAATATAATTATGATCAGGCATGCACTTTTAGCCATGTGTTTCTTGATTATACTTCTTTCAATGCTCTTTGCCCTTGTTCTTGCAGACCCTCTATTCACTATTTGTTCATCTACTGAATATGGTAACTATGATCTGAAAAGCCCGTTCGGAAAGAACGTGAAGATTGTCCTTGAAACCTTGCCTTCCATCACTTCATCAACCGGCTATAACAGCACAGCTATCGGTGAATTGCCTGACAAAGTCACCGGCAAAGCACTTTGTAGGGGAGATGTCACTTCGAGTGCTTGTCAGACGTGTTTGAGAGATGCAAGCCAAAAACTGTTGAAAGATTGCGAAAGTAAAGAAGCAATCATATGGTATGAACGATGCCAAATTCACTACTCGTTTCAGAATATAACTTCATTGTATGTTTATGCCGGGAAGTATCCAGACATGGAATCTCATAATAAATCCGTATCAGATCCTGTTCATTTCTATGACAATGTAAGGTTCCTCATGGACAAACTGTCAAATGCGGCGGCGCTCAATCGTTCAAAGCTCATGTTTGAAACTGGGGAAATCAAGTTTTCAAGGAACGAAACCATATATGGCCATGTACAGTGCACTAGAGATATCAGAGAAGATGAGTGTCAGAAATGTTTGAGCTCTGCTTTGATTGATCTCAAGGGATGCTGTTCTTCAAAGCAAGGTGGAATTATTGTTAGTAGGAATTGCAATGTAAGATTTGAGCTGTACAAATACTACAACACCTCAAGTCACTTGATAACATTCCCAACTCCTAAAGGTGAGTAAACAGAATTTATTTTTACTGATGAACTGTCAGCAAACAGAAGTTATGTTTTGATTACACTTTAGTAAGAAAGGGCAGTACCACCAGTAACTCTTGGTGTTTCAAATGCTGGCTTTACTCATAAGTACCCAATTTGTTAATGATTGATATTGTTACTATTAATTCATTCTTTGAAAGGTAATGTATTGGTACCAAATTGTCCAGAATCCTAGTCCATTATTAAATGATATGCTACCAAATTCTTGCTTTGCAAGGCAGGAGTAATTGGAAGATGGTGGCAATTATTGTGTTTATACCTACAATGGTGCTTCCAATAGTCATTGGATCTTTCATTTTCTGTCTGAGGCGAAAAAGAAGAAGACAAAGAGGTATCTGAACCAAGTGATCACGTCCACTTTATTTAAATAGGCTCATTTACATCCGAATTCAAAAGTACTAAAACTCCTATTTTTTGGCAGACATGGAAAGAAATCACCTAAAATTATTGAAGGAATCAGCAAGTCCAATAGGGTTCACAACGACAGAAGAAGGTCGTTTGGTAAGTTCTGAGGACCTGCCTTTCATGGACTTAAGTACTATCAGAGCAGCCACAGACAACTTCTCCGACTCGAATAAGCTTGGACAAGGTGGGTTTGGCACTGTTTATAAGGTAAGTTGTAAAGGGGCTTCTCTGTCACAATCCACTGAGATTCAGCTGTCTTTGCAGTCCAACCCTCTAAAAGGAAAACCCAGTTTTTTATTCAGTTTGACATGGTTAAATATTGCTTCAGTTACACAGGATTTTCCTCATTGCAAATTGTTTCAGGGTGTGTTAACAAATGTGAAAGAAATAGCTGTTAAAAGGCTTTCAATAAAGTCATGGCAAGGTTTAGAGGAGTTCAAGAACGAATTCATGCTAATTGAAAAATTACAGCACCGAAACCTGGTGAGGCTGTTGGGATGTGGCATGGAAGGAGAGGAAAAGCTGCTCATATATGAGTTCATGCCTAACAAAAGCCTTGATATTTTTATCTTTGGTCTGTTCCATTCATTTATTTTGCCTTTGAATTCTTAAATTTTACATTTTCAACAATTAAATGACGCTAGAGGCTGAAGTTTCTTCTTATTCAAATTTCAGATGCCGAAAGACGTGCACAGCTTGATTGGGAGACATGTTACAACATAATTGGTGGCATTGCTAGAGGACTTCTTTATCTACATGAGGATTCTCGGCTTAGAATCATTCACCGGGATTTGAAACCTAGCAATGTTCTACTGGACCACGAAATGGTTGCCAAGATATCAGACTTTGGCATGGCTAGATTTTTCGGCGAAAACCAGAACAAAGCAAACACCAGAAGAGTAGTAGGAACATTGTACATCCCCTTTCTTCTCCACTATTTTTTTTTCCTTGTATTCTGACGATTTTGATCCGTAATTTTAATCTCCTAGGGTTTTCTTACACGTGAAACAGCGGATACATGGCTCCAGAGTACGCAATGGAAGGAATATTCTCAGTGAAATCGGATGTCTTCAGCTTTGGTGTTATACTTCTTGAGATTATAAGTGGGAAAAGAAGCAGTGGTTTTTACCTCACAGAGCATGGCCAGACACTCTTAGCATATGTGCGTACAGTATTTTCCCTACCCTTGAACATTTTCCCTTAATCTTGGCAGGTAATGTTATGACAAATTATGAAACCAAATTCACAGGCATGGAGATTATGGATTGAAGGGAAAGCAATGGAGTTTGTGGATCCTTTGTTGGTGGAAAGAAGCCCAGCAGAAGGGATTTTGAGGTGCCTGCATATTGGGCTGTTATGTGTGCAGAAGGATCCAGCAGACAGGCCCACAATGTCATTTGTGGACTTAGCATTGGCAAGCGACCCAATAGCTCTTCCTCAACCACAGCAACCAGCCTTTTCTCTCATTAAAATTGTTCCAGCTCACAAGTCTTCATCAACAGATCGTTCAGTGAATCAGATGACAGTCTCTAGTTTCTTACCGAGGTGATTGTCACTGAAATTCCCACTATGTTAATGTGTCCGGCAACTGGCATGGTTGGGAATATATTATTTCAATATATGTTAATGTGTCTGATATTCCTTTTTGATAAATTTGCTATGCTGACCTATACTTCGACTGGGATAATTTTTTTTTAATAAAAAACGAGAATATTAAGGCTTTTTTTAATGTGTATTTTGTCCAAAAAACACCCTGATCATATATTAAAAATTTTATACATATGTTTAATTAAATAAATAAAAAATCATATATATCAATAATTATGAGAACAAAGTGTTGATGCATCTATTTGACTTTTTTCACTACAAGTCGGATATTATTTCTCTAACACAAGAGAATGAATATATAAATATTGTTGACGTGGTTTTTTACCAAGATATATGAAATTAATTATTTAATATGTATTGAAATATATTCTTTTAAAAATACATATTTAAAAAGGTATTAATTAAAAAAAAATATACACGCATCTAATTTATGTTGAAAAATGACAAATAAGATACTATTAAGCTTGATATCATAATTTAAACTTATAAAATATTAATCAGAATATTTACTTGGCTCAAATTTTAAATTTAATTGTGTGAGTATTGTTTTCATATGACATTATTGATTTGATAAGTTGAAACTCGTGATCCTAATTATAAACTTTATATAATTAAATTATTTTTTAATTTTATTATATAATAATAAACAACATGTAAATCAAATTATAATTAACTTAATATTAAATAATTAAAGAAACTCAATTTTAAATAATAAAATAAAATAAATAAAAAATAAAAAAACCAATAAAAAAATCTAGTCTTACCTGGCAGGCCTTTATAAGAAGACTTTAAACTTAACTCCATGCTAGCTACTAGAGCAACAACAAAAAGTTCTTAACTGAATAGCTAAAACAATATATCAACCTATTTTTTTAACTGATTTTTTTCTTTTGTGGTATCTTTAGGTTAATTGATGATATAAAAATATAATCCCGCCTATTTTTTTTTTTGTTGTATTTATAATTCCTCATCATAAAAATGAAATAATACTATTATTAGTAAAAAAAAAATTTTAAGGATTAGAGTACAACCTCAATTTGGTCACGATCAGATATAAAATTTTCAAGGATTCTCTAATTTCCAAAACAGGTATCTTATCTTTGATAACACTAAAAAGAAGAAGTTAATGAAAAATCAACCTAAAGATACCACAAAAGAAAAAAAATCAGGTAGCCAAAGAGAGTGAAGTACTTCAATATATAAATGATTAAATAATTACTAACTTCATAAATCCTAATTAATCCTAATTAAAAATACTACCAGAAAATCGATAAATATAAATGAAAATATCGAGAGAATATTTTCGTCGGTAAAGTTTCGAGAGATTTTACCCACGGTAATATTTTCTCGGTATATACTGGGGGAACTACAATGGGAAAAAAATTAAAACAAAGCAAAAAAAAAAATGATAACGTGTCATTTTTACCAATAGAATTACCGATAAAATTTCATCGATAAAATCGTTGGTAAACTGTAAACACTGTTCATCATATCAAATATAAAGAGAATAACCGATAGACTATTCCGTCAATATTTTACAAAAAGCTCTATAACTGTTCACTTTCCAATTGCATTGTCAATTGTTCTTCTTTACTGACAAAATCACCAACGGATTGAAAAATCATCGGTGATTGTTAACGGTTTCTGAAAATTTTTTATGAAATTAAAATTTTAAATTAAGTATTATAGACAAAATTACCGACGGGATAATTAAAAAATGTTAATATTTAATTATCTGTCGGTGAGACCATAGCTAACGCGCCTCAATAAAAAACTTGAATCCCCTATTTCACAAGAGACAGATTCATTTCTTCTTCTTCTTCTTCTTCTTCTTCTTCTTTTTCCTTATGTGTAAAAAACATCAATTTTTCTTCTTTTCTCTCCTTATCTCTTTCTCTTCTTCTCTGTGCTCAGGTATGCTTTCTTCTTCTTTCTTCTTTTATCCTCTTTTTTCTAATTAATATGCTGAACGATTTTTTCTCTCTCTCCTTAGCTTCACTTGTAACTACATTAAAGTAAGATTTTTTTTTTCTTTTTTCATGATTTTTTTCACTATATTTGTTTTTAGCCTTAATAATTGTATGAATGTTGTTGTGAGATTTTTTTTCATATAAGATCAATTTTTAGTTGATTTATTTATAGGATTTTAAAATTTTTAGCAATCACAACTTTATTTTTTTCATATGAATTTTTTTAGTTGAATTTATTTTTTTATTTTATTTATTTGTTGCAAATTTGTTTGAGTTGATTTTTTCTTTTTTTTCCCCAAGCATTTTGAGTATATTATAGAGTGTTAATTTATGTTAATTCAATTATTTTATAATTTTATAAAATAATTTTTTTAAAATGTTTTTAAATAATTACCGACAGAATTAGCAATGGTATTTTTTGAGGGATATACTGACGGAATGAAGCGGGTAATGTTTTTTTACACGTTTGTTTTGTCAGTAATAATATTTTTTATTACTAACAAATTTATCGATGAACAAAAAATTACTAATAAAAAATTCATCGATGAAGTATTTTTATTTGTAATTTTATTAATAAATTAATTATCGATAGAATGTATATTTTATACTGACTGAAAAATTCTTTTAATAAAACTATTAAATGATAATGAAAATTCTATTCAGACATCGTCAAAAATGAAAAATAACTTACTAACGGTACATGTTCTGCGCAAGTAATGATCATTATACATACCTTTTTTTTTCTTTTTTTTTTTATTAACGTGGGTGTCCGGGCCAGCTTACGCGCACCACGACTAATCCCACGGTCCACTGGACATCCGGCAAGCCTCAGTGAACAGGTTAGGCACTGCGGGGGTGACAGACGTATCACACAGCAAGGAGCCAGCAGAACCAGGAAGGACACCACTCGCCAGCCCCACCCCCACCCTCATTGTACATACCTTAATCCCAAGGCAAAGCAACATAAAATCCAAATTAGAAATTTCAGCATGATTCCGATAGTTGTGCTCGTGATGGTGGGTGATTCGCTTCCTCAGAATTATTTTCGAATGACTTGTGAAAGTATCAAGGAAGGAAAATCTTTTCTCAACCACCAAGCAAGAATGCTTTTTGTCGAACACTCACATATATCCAGAAGATGGTCAAAAAAAAAAAAAAAGATGGAAATATATCCTCAAAAACAAAAATAGAACAAATATTATGTTCCAATAACGTTTCACATACATGGTACAACACTTTTTCCAAGCACTTATGTTCTTATTTTTGTACCTTTCTATACATACCCAGTAAAAGTACCATTTATACTGTATTTGCTAACTTCACATATAGAAAATTATTATTTTAAAAAATAATGTTCCAAATATGTAAAAAAAAAAGGATATTTGAAAAACAATGAATATATCCTCCTATAGGAGATAGCATCAGAAAATGTTTTACAACGCGTTGTAAATATTTTTAGCTAAAATTTAATATGATTTGGATCATTTTGATGTATTGATATCAAAAATAATTTTTAAAAAATAAAAAAATATTATTGGCATGTATTTCGTACGAAAAGCTATTTAAAAAGTAACCGTAACCACATTGTCAAATAGACGCTTAACGAGCAATAACTGCATAGCTATTAAATTGGAACTGGTGGTTGACTAATGATCTAAAGATCTGATAAAACCTAGTTGAAACTTGTATTTTTTTCTAGCCAAAGATTTTTTTTTAGTTGATTATTAATTCTTTTCAAAGTTTACTATATAAATACTAAAAAAATATTTTATTTTTTCAATGTGAATATTTTAAAGCCCTTTAATATATATATATATATATATATATTCTATGTTCATAAGAAAAAATTATTTTTTCAATATGGAATTTGAAACCATTTAATATATATACTCTATATTAACAAGAAAAAAATTGTGTTTTTTCAATAAGAAATAAAAACTATTTTTGAATTAAATACTTCAACTTAAAAGGATAATATACTAATATAGTATCTTTTCAATATAGAATAAAAATCTTTACAAATAATCTTTTAAACTTCATTATTTATAACATGTGTAATCTATATTCAAATGGATTATTTCATAATTTTTTCATATAAAATATTAAAACTTTAAATATTTTGTTTTAAAATTTTTTGAGTTGATTCGAGTTGATCTGGATCAACCCATGTAACCTGAGTCCCGACTTTTTAGTTGGGTCAACCCTAGATCGGGTCTAATAACTATGGGTAAAAGGTCTATGGATCCCAAAATAAGCTATATTGATGAAAAATGTTGAATTTATTAAAAATTCTTATCAATTTATAGACTTATTAATTTTGACTTTAATATTAAAAAATTAAATACAAAATTATCTGTTTCGATAATATACATATATTAGTAACTAAAATTGGAATTTTAATAACGATTTTAATGCCTTTTTCGTATAAAGCTAATTATTAGTAATTTAATTAACTTTGTTTGTAAGAAATTAATTATTAGTATTTGTATTCATCCTATCTCTAATTAGGAAGTTATTAAAATAACAATACATAATTTCTAAATATAGTATGGAAATGACGATGCATTTATACTTTATTTAAAATAATAAAATTAGTATTTTTTATTAAAAAATATTTTTAATATTAGTGTATCAAAATGATCTAAAAACATAAAAAAAAAATTAATTTGAAGTAAAGAAAAAAGAAAACAAATTTAAATGTTTTTAAAATATTTTCAAAATACAAAAAGAAACAAGCTCTAATACTGAAAAGAGCCTTTACTATTAATTTTTCATTAATTATAAGGCTTTCTATAATTTCTTACCTTTAATTTATCCAGACAAGTGTTATTAGCAAATTAGTACTCTAGCATTTTATTTTTATTTTTCTTATTTTGTATTATTAGAGTATTTTATTTTTTTATTTAAATAATTATAATAGCTTTTTGAAAAATAAAAAAATAAATGAATAAAAGTTAAATTTGTGCATTCTATTGTGTGTGTGTGTTTTTTTTTTTGTTGTAAATTTTAATCTGTCTTGTTAGGGTTTATATGTTTTCTATATTTTACCTAAAAATTTTAATTTATTTAAATTAATTAAATCCCGTATCTTTTATTTTTGTTTCACTTTGTGTAAATTTCAATTTCATCAACAAAG